ATCCAGGGCCTCATGCAGGCCAGGCAAGCACTCTACCACTGAGCCACCTTCCTAGCCTTCCCAAGGCTTTCTTGAACTGGAGAAAACAGTTAAGTCTCTCTGAGCTGCTTCCTTGTCTGTGAAACAGGAGTCTGTCAAGACTCACTGCGCAGCACTGGTAGCTTATGCCTGGAATCTCGGCCACTCCTGAGACTGAGATGAGAGGATCAAAGCAGCCCCAGAAGAAAGTCCTTGACACCCATCTCCAATTGAGCAGCAGAAAGCTGGAAGTAGAGCTGTCACTCAAGTGGTAGAATGCTAGCCTTAAATGAAACACAGCTCCCTGTCCCTGAGTTCAAGACCTAGTAGCAGCGTATGTGCTTGTGCACACACACACACACACACACACACACACACACAATACTTGGTGCTGCTTTGTCACTGGGTTCCAGCCCCCTCTCCATCCAGATCGCACACCTCAGGATTGATTTGCACACCTATAATTACACTACTGATCTTTATATTGCTACGTATTTTACACGTTTCACACCCAGTCAACAGTACATTCAAAAATATTTCCCAGACACCCGCCATGCGCCAGAACCTGTTCTGAGACACGACCTAGATGGCTTGCAGGAGCCGAAATTAAATGCCATTCGTTTAGAGTCAAGGCGGCACACCGAGAGGCCGCCCGCGTCCTTTCTGATTTCCGGACCGGGAGCGGTGGCCGACGCGGTTCTCCTCCCACCGCCAAGCTCGGGGAATCTGCGCCCGCCCGGATCGGCTTCTTTCTTGGCAGCCAGGCAGAGCGGCCGCCTGAATGCAAGCCGGAGCCGGGGAACAGCACGAAAAGCCCTGGCGGGCCCCGGGACACGGTGGGAGGTCTGTGTCCCGGAGCCCCGGGGAGCCCGCCCCCGGCCGCCCTGGCACCGGCTCCCCCTGGGCCGCCGGGCAGCCGGGCAAAGGCCGGTCCTGACACGCACCCAGCTTTTTGTGCAAGGGCAACACAAAGAAGAGGGAAATACACGTCTTCCGTTTGGACGGAGGAGGCCAACCGTTCCAGAGCCAGCCAGGGACTCCCGGGGCGAGGGCCCGATCGGCCCGGGCGAGTGAGCGCTCGTTCTCCGCTAGGAACAGCTGCGCGCTGGTGGGAACCGCAGGGTCCGGGGCTCGCCGGGGTGCCGGACCCCAACAAGGGCAGGCTTGGCCCTCCAGAACCCACGGGGCCAAGGCGCTCTCCAGTTCCTGATTGTCCGGGCTGGATGTCGATGGGAGGGAGACACGACGAAAAGTTGTCTGGCATCCGACCTGCACTGGGCAGGGTCCCCGGTGGGCCTGGATGGGGTCCAGGAAGAGAGAGAGGGGAGCGGGGAGCAAGGACGCCTTCCCACCTTGGGGCACTGCCGTGCAGATCGACCCCCGATTCGGTGGGCCCGGTCTACTTTCAGTGCCAGCCACGGGACCAAATGCGTAACGAATGCAAGGCCGGCGCGCACCAATTCGCCAGTGGGCTCCAAAGGATGAAGGATGCGGGACGCGTGCGGGCTGCCCGCCTGTCACATTGTACCCCGGCGGGCGCACCGCTCCACGCCCCCCGCGGGTGGTCCCCACACGCGCTCCCCCGCACGCGCCCTCACTAAAGTTGGCACGGGAGGCCCCCAGGAGAGAGCCTCAAATGCCCGCACAGTTCCCAAACTCCCCCCAACTCCTCCCCCAGCGATCGGCCGTCTGTGTGTGACAGACTCTGCTAATGGAACGGTTATGGGTCATCCCTGCAGCCGTTGGACGACATAACACCACGCTTCAGTTCTTCATGTTTTAAATACATATTTAACGGATGGCTGCAAAGCCAGCTGGGAAACACGCGGGTTGAAAAATAATGCTCCAGAAGGCACGAGACCAGGGCAAAGGCGAGAGCCCGTGGGGGCTTCCCACACCCCGAGGGAGCCTTAGCCCGGAATCCGGGGCAGTGGGCTCCGTTTTCCTGTTTGCTTTGTAACTTTGCTACTCAGAGACCAATCACTGTGTTTTTGCTTGCTTACTTGCTTTAAAAAAAATCATCTGCAGCCAGTAGTATTTTGCTTGCCTAGCATTGGTGAGTCCCTAGGTTTGATCACTCGCATTGAAAAATAAAACAAAACAAACAAAAAAAAGCCATCTGTGCAGTAAAAAGTCCCCAAACAACGAAGATTAGCAAAGGACTCAATGCTTCCTACCAGGATGAGGTGTGTGTGGTGGCGGTGTGTGTGTGTAGTGTATGGGTGTGTGGTGTGCTGTGTATGTATGTGTGTGGTGTGTGTATGTGTGTTTGTGTGTGGTGTATGTAGTGTGTGCGGTGTGTGTGTGGTGCATGTGTATGTGTGTGGTTTGCTGTATGTGTGTGGTGTGTCTTGTGTGTGGTGTATGTATGTGTGGTGTGTGTAGGTGTAGTGTGTGGTGTGTATGTGCATGTGGGTGGTGTGTGTGTAGTGTGTGGTGTATGTGGTGTGATATGTTGTATGTATGGTGTGTATGTGTGTGTAGTGTGTATGTGGTGTGTGTGGTGTATGTGTGTGGTGTGTGTGTATAGTGTGTGGTGTGTGTGTGGTGTGTGTGTGTGTACCTTAAGGGACCGCCAACTCCTCTCTGCGTGGGTACTGCAGGGTTAATGCTCCAAAGGCTTAGCACGATTTCTGCAGGCCTGGTGCAGAGGCCGTTTCTGGGCTTTTCTGTAACATGGTGAATACGTTGGCATCTGAGGGCCAATTCAGGCGCCTGTCCACACCGCGTTTCATACTTGCTGGTCAAGAGTTTCATGATCCGAGAACCTGGCTTTGATGGAGGAAAGGTGTGCTTGGCCTAAGCCAGGCCTGAGACGCCCCTTTGCAAACCTCGGGGTGTCGCTACTCTGGGGCGCGGACGCAACGGTACAGACGCTGCTGAAAACCCGGCGCTTCCTCGCTGACCTCCGGAGGGAGGTTATCGCTAGCTCGGGACGTCTCGGTGCCGGTGCCGCGCACGTGACTCACTGGCCCGGGCCGGCACCGTCTCCAACTTTCGGAGCAGTTGTGATTTCTTTGAAAAACAACCACAAACCCCAGCCTCCTTCCCCGCGCTCCGCCCGCCCGGCCCGGCCCGCGTGGGGGCGCCACCGCCCGTCTGCAGGGCTGCCTCCGCGGCGGGAAGAAAGTTGGGGAGATGGGGGCGGGGGCTTTGTGCGCGCTCGGGTTCTTCACATCTGGGGGCCCAAGGGCTCCCGCATCCTGCAAACGCTGAGACAGAGAAACCAGCGAGCCAAGGAACGCTCAGGCGCTGACTCCAGGCTGAACTCCCCTCCCCAAGCGCGCCCTGACGGTTCTCTGCCCGCCGCAGGGGAGTGTGTCTGCGAACTTCCCAGGCCGGCGGCTGCCCGGCTCCCACGCGGACGGCTGCGCGGGGGGGGGGGTGTGGCGGGGGGGGGGGGGGGGGGGGAGAATGTAGAAATGTAGTTGCCTCTCCCTCGGTCCCAGCCTCCCCCCCCTCCCCTCCCCTCCCAAGTCGCTCCTCCAGTCTCGCCCTCCCGAATCTCTGCGCCGCCGCCGCTCATTGGCTGTGCGGGGAGCGGAGGCGTGCGCGGGGCCGGGCGGGTTTCATTGAGCGGAATTAGCCCGGATGACATCAGCTCCCCAGCCCCCGGGGCGGGCCCCGCTCATTGGAGAGGCCGCACCTCCAGCACCAGCACATTGTTCCCCGCCCCCCCGCCCCCCCCCCGCCCCGGCCACCGCCACCGCGGGCTCCGCGGCCGCCACCCGGCTATAAAAACCAGCCCGGGCCCGCCACCACCCCCCACCCAAAGGTGCGGACGCTTGGATGCGCGTCCTAGGCCCGCGCGACGCCGTCGCCCGCAGCCAGGTTTTCCCGGCGGCTCCTCGGAGCGGGCTCCTGGAATCGAATTCACAGTAAGTGTCCCCAGCAGCCCCCTCCCCCCCAGCCGAGGGTCCAAAGGCTGATGACCCCCAACTCCGTTAGGTGGGGGGGAGGGCTGGGATCCCGCCCCCCCGGGGTCCCGGAGATGCCCGGCGGCGGCCCACGTTCATCGCCGCATCCCCCCACCCCTTCGCCTCCAAAGCCCGAACTCCCGGCAAAACACATCCGTTCTGCCGCAACCGAGCTGCCCTGGCGGCCGCGAGCCGCCGCGCGTGGGGTCCGCGGGCCCGGAGCCGGTGCTGGGTGCGTGCGTGGCGCGCGTGCGCTCGGCGGTGTCGGCGGAGAGGGTGCGCTGCAAGAACCGAATACACCGCATTTGTTATTTAGCGCTTCTCGCTCCCCAGAGAAAAGGCTTCACCTGTCCCCCCCCCCCCGTTTAATCCAATTCGGGGGGCTCGGGCTTCCCCGTCCCGAACGAAGCCCTTCGCTGGGCGCCCGGCCGGTGGAGCGACCTGTGGACGGGGCGGGAGAGACGCGCGCGCCGCGTGGGGGACACTGCGGCTGAAGGGAAGGCCGGGGACGGACGGACGGACGGACGCCCGGCCACCCGCCACGGGTGACCCGCCACGGTGTTGCGGGAAAGCGGGCCAGCTTTTCTGTTTTATTTACTATTGCAACTGTCCCCATCTCTGTCTCTTCTCTGTGTCTCTTGCTGTCTCTTTCCGTGTGTCTCGTCCCCTCTCTCTTTCTGTGTGTCTCTGTCTCTCCTTTTTGCTGGTTTTCTTTCCCTGCGTGTCTGCCTTTCTCTCCGTGGGTCTCTGTTTTTCGGTCTCTGTCCTCCCTGTCTCTCTGTTCCTCTCCATATCTCTGTGTCTCTGTCTCCCTCTTCTCTCTCTGTCCTGTCTCTCGAGTCTCTTTTTCTGTGTTTCTGTCTCCATCTCTCTCTGTCCCGTCTTTCTCTCGTGTCTCTTTCTGTGTCTCTATCTCCCTCCGTCCCTCCCTCCCTCTCCCCCCTCTCTCCTCGTTCTCTCGTGTCTCTGTCTTTCTCTATGTCTCTGTCCCCCTCTCGTCTCCCTCTTCTCCGTCCCCGGGATCCTTGAAGACCGAGAGGACGATTCCCGAGGACGCGGTGACTGTCCCCCGGTGCCATGGACTCGGACGCCAGCCTGGTGTCCAGTCGCCCATCGTCACCAGAACCGGATGACCTTTTCCTGCCTGCCCGGAGCAAAGGCGGCAGCGGCGGCGGCGGCGGCTTCACGGGGGGCACCGTGTCGTCGTCCACGCCGAGCGACGGCCCGCCGGAGCTGAGCGCCGAGCTGCGCGGGGCCGTGGGAGCGGCGGGCGCGCACGCGGGGGACAAGCCGGGCGGCGGCGGCTTCAAGTCGTCCTCGTCGTCCAGCACGTCGTCGTCCACATCGGCGGCGGCCGCCTCGTCCACCAAGAAAGACAAGAAGCAGATGACGGAGCCCGAGCTGCAGCAGCTGCGGCTGAAGATCAACAGCCGCGAGCGCAAGCGCATGCACGACCTCAACATCGCCATGGACGGGCTGCGCGAGGTCATGCCGTACGCGCACGGGCCGTCGGTGCGCAAGCTCTCCAAGATCGCCACGCTGCTGCTGGCGCGCAACTACATCCTCATGCTCACCAACTCGCTGGAGGAGATGAAGCGGCTGGTGAGCGAGATCTACGGCGGCCACCACGCCGGCTTCCACCCCTCGGCCTGCGGCGGCCTGGCCCACTCGGCGCCGCTGCCCGGCGCCGCGGCGCACCCCGCGGCCGCCGCGCACCACCCCGCGGTCCACCACCCGATCCTCCCGCCCGCCGCCGCCGCCGCCGCCGCCGCGGCCGCCGCCGCCGCCGTGTCCAGCGCCTCGCTGCCCGGCTCCGGCCTCTCCTCGGTCGGCTCCATCCGGCCCCCGCACGGCCTGCTCAAGTCCCCGGCGGCCGCGGCGGCCGCCCCGCTGGGCGCCGGGGGCGGCGGCGGCGGCGGCGGGGGCGGCGGCGGCGGCGGCGGCTTCCAGCACTGGGGCGGCATGCCGTGCCCGTGCAGCATGTGCCAGGTGCCGCCGCCGCACCACCACGTGTCGGCCATGGGCGCCGGCAGCCTGCCGCGCCTCACCTCCGACGCCAAGTGAGCCGGCGGGCGCCGGTGCGGACTGGAGAGCTAGGGGCACCCCCACCCCCCAGATCCCCGATGGCGGCGGGGAAGCGAGGACAGGCTGGCTGGCGCCGGGGCGCAGACGCCGGGTCGGGGAGGGAGGGGACTGGGAAAGGGAGGATGGGGACGCCAGCATTGGGGATGCGGGGCGCGGGGGGGGGGGGGCGCAGTGGCCGATGGTCAAGTCCCCAGCCTCCTTCACTCGGACCCTGGTTTTCCTGGTGTTCAGACTCTGGCCCCCCACCACGGAGCATCGTGGAGGGGTGCGGGGAGCGGGGGACATCGAGGACACCGAGGACAGATTCCTCCTCCTCCTCCTCCTCCTCGTTTCTTGGCTCGCGGGAGACGCTGGGGACCGCACGGCAGAAGCCACGTCTGGGTCTCCATCCCCCCCCCCCCGGGTCGTCCCTGGCCAAGGGCAGTGGGCGAGCTGAAGCTGGCGCGGCTTCCGCAAGCACTTTCCCTGTCCGCGTCCCATCTCCATATTCCTTAGAACTGTGGCTGAGGTTCCTGGTGTCCCCTGGTGAGTGAGGGGCGGGGGTGGGGGTGGTGGCTTCTAATACATCTGTGCCTGTTCTTGTAGCAAGGCGATGAGTAAGTTTCACAGACGCACAGAATAGAAGCACTTGTGGACGGAATGACCCCCCAACTGCCCCATCTAAAGGGTGGGTGTTTGATGGGTTTTAGGTATTATTTTTGAAGTAGAAGCTAGCCCTCCTTCTTTACCCCCCCCCCACCTCCTCTCCACCCCCTCGTCTCTGAGCAAAAGGTGATTTTTGTTTCTTACTCGATTGAGAAGAGACTTTGGGGGGGGGGGGTTACGCAAGGTCTTGGCAGTTAAAAAGAAAAGTGACTGAGTTACGTGAGGGTTTCCGTTGGCTTTTTAACTTCCCGGGTTGAGCTGGTGACTGTCAGAGCCTCACCGAAGTCTAAGCCACCTTTCCTCTCTGTATGGCTTCTTGTCGCCACGTTTAACACAAATGGCAAAAACCCCTCCACAGGCTCCCTGCCTCCTCCCCAACGGCCTGGCAGGCCCAAGTGGTAATATGGGGCCCTGGGTAGCAACTTCCTCTGATAGCGGGGCTCCTGATGGCAGAGTGTGTGTCATCTTGTTTTATTTTTGTAAAAAGAAAAAAAATGTGCTAAATAATATTTATTACTTGTTTGGTTGTAAGAACGAGATAAATGATCGAGTGTTGGAATTTTAAATAAAATTTAAAGAACACCAGGTGCTTTTCGTCATGTGAGTGGAAGAAGGTACAGAGAGCGAGCAGCCAGCCCAGTAAGGGGGGTGATGGTTGCCATTCCCGGGGACCAGATTTGGAAATCATTTTGCTGGCTTTTTTCCCTAGAGGCAGATAAAGGTTGTCTGTCCACCATCATCACCCCCCTAAGGCCCTCCACACCTTCCCTTTAAACACCACTGAGCCCATCCTCCATGTTTGTCACCACACATGCATCCTTCCCCCACCCCCCAATGAGATCAGGAACCCCCTTTAGGACAAGACTGAGCCAGAAGAGGGAAACTTCCCTTTGCTGCTGAGGAACTTTGGGCCTGCAGGGACCCACACTTCAGCTGCGGGTCTGGACATTCAGGCGTCCATTCTGCCTGGACTTTTCTCAAGGATGATGGCCAATGTCTACTCCTGCTCCACTCTGTTTCGTGGGCTCTGGGGTTCAGCTTCAAGCCAGACAATGCTTACCCCACCCTCACCCCCAGTCCACCACTGCCTAGACCTTCGGGGCCAAGAGCCGCAGGAGAGCTTTCTTCCACCTTCCCTGGTGCCCACTCAGGCCTTGAACCCCAAATTGCCCAGAGCTAGGATCACTGGGAGATAGCAGAGAACTCAATCCCCTCCCCCCCACACACACACCTCTGCTCTTTCTTAAGCAGTCATACAGACTGGACCAGGTGGTACTATTAAGACACATTCTGGACATTGGTTTTAAGCTTCAGCTTTCTGAGGACTTATGCTGCCACATCTCTGTGCCAGAAGACAGGACCCAAAATCCACACTCCTCAAAAGTCAGCCTGGTGCCTGCAATAGATGAGTCCTCTGGCCAGCCGGGAGGCTCCTAGGCAACAACCTCCTTAATGACCACCGGAAGGCCCCAGGAACGGGTGTGTATTTCCCTGGTTGGAATCCTATTTATTGAGTCGGACCTCTGAGCTTGGACCACACCGGAGGCCATTGCCCAGGCTGAGGTTGGCTTCATCCCTAGCTTGGGGACAAGCACTTTCCTGTGCTCCAGCAGCCAATGTCGGGCAGCTGGCCACAAGTGCAGGCGCCCGGGGATCCGGTGGTGTAGGCTTTGCTGTTTACCCGCCTGCTTCCCTTTTCACTCAAGGCTGGGAGAGATTTGGAAGGGGCCTACCAACTAGGGGTGTCAGGAGAGAAAGGAAAAAGAGGAGCAGCACTGTGCAGACCCAAGAAGAGGGCACAGTCTAGCTATGCTTATTCTGAAATCCCTTTGGAAATGAAATGTTCTAAGTGTTCAAAACTGAGTCCTGTCAGGGCACCAGTGGCTCACACCTATAATCCTAGCTACTTAGGAGGCTGAGGTCTGAGGATCAAGGTTCGAAGGCAGCCCAAGCAGGAAAGTCTTATCTTCAAATAACTACCACACAAAAAAGTTGGAAGAAGAGATATGGCTCAAGTGGTAGAGTGCTAGCTTTGAGCACAAAAGCTCAAGGACAGCACCCTGGCCCTGAACCAGCACACAGACAGACAGACAGACAGACAGGCAGACAGGCAGGCAGGCAGGTAGGCAGACAGAAAGACAGAGAGACAGACAGACAGACAGACAGACAGACACACACACACACACACACACACACACACACACACACAAACTGAGTCTAACTCCAGCCACAGACACAAACAGAAGGACCAGGAGCCAGTAGAGGTGTATGGGTGGGGGGAGGGGATGTGGATGCTTACAACTTCCTCATTCAGACAGGAAGTGCCCTATCCCAGGCAGAGATCACATGGGATGCATAGATGCATAGGATATGTGTTGAAAGGAAATGAATAAATTAAGTCTCCCTTGCATCACAGTGCCCAAGCTTTCAGCAGTGACTGGCCACAGCCAGCCTAGTCCTCTGAGAAGGATGTCCCGGCTACATCTAGGAGGGCCGGGACCTCCCAGAGCCATCAACCCTAAACTGCTGTGGGCCTTTTTCTCTCAATGTGAGACCCCAGTGTCAGAGCACACTGAGGAGAGGCACACTAGCACACTGGGTGCATCTTTCCTCAGACTTGAACTCAGAGCCTAGGCAGGTAGATCCTCCAGGAAATTAGCTCTGGGACTGGCCAGTTCCAGAGTGGCTCAGGCCAGCAGCTGGGCTTCAGAGGGACATGCAACCATTTTGACTGTGGTGGGCCCTGATATATGGGAGCAGTTTCCCATGGAAATGTGAAGGGACAAGGAGGTAGGAGGGAAGAAGTTTGTGGCACCTTGTGGTTTGCGTGCACATGTGGTTTGTGTAGAATAAAAGCTCCAGTTAAAATCAAAGAGAGTCGGCTGCTGGTGGCTCATGCCTATAATCCTAGCTACTCAAGAGGCTGAGATCTGAGGATCATGGTTCAAACCAGCCCCAATAGCAAAATCTGTGAGACTCTTATCTGGAGTAGAGCTCCTGGTACCACTGATGTTCATGGAGTTGGGATTCTGCATCCAAAATACAGACGATTTGCAGAAGGGAGAAGCAAGCCAGAAAACCTATTGTATATCTTAGTGATGGGCCTTATTGCTGGGGCCCCAAGTGCCTCACCCCCAATGAGGCAAAGGACTCCATGTGGTTGTAGTAAAACCTAGGAAGACACTCAGGTCCATCTGGACCTGCCTGTCTATAAAACACACACACACACACACACACACACACACACACACACACACACACACACACACACACACCCTCATTGGAACTGAAGAACTCCTGTGGCAAGTGCTTTGTTGAGGAAACTCCTCCCCAGATGTTTCATAGATAAAAACAACTTCAGCACTGGAGAAAGGTCTAGTTCCCCTTAGGACTGGATTCACCGAGCACTCTGTCTTCCAATCAGAAGTGCTCTCTAGAAGTTCATCTAAGGCCATGGATTCCCTACATCTACCATCTCTTCCTCCTCCTCTTCTTCCTCCTGCTCCTCCTCCTCCTTCTTGCCAGTCCTGGGGCTTGAACTCTGGGCTTGGACACTGTCCCTGAGCCCCTTTTTACTCAAAGCTAGTACTCTACTACTTGAGTCATACACAGTGCCACTTCTGGATCTTTCTGTGATTAATTGGAGATACGAGTCTCATGAAGTTTCCTGCCTAGGTTAGCATTGAACCCCGATCCTCAGATCTCAGCCTCCTGAGTAGCTAGGATTACAAGTGTGAGCCGCTGGGGCCAACTTCTTTAAGTCCCACTTCATTACCAATCTTGTGCCAGGTCTTCCCTCCCCACATGGCCCCAGTAGGGGTCTGTAACAAGCGTCCAGCACCCAGAACTCTAGGACATCTGCAGGCCAGCAGTGCTCTCAGTCCCTCTGCAGACCAGAGCGGGAGACCGAGTTAGGCTCAGAGTAAGTGGTTGTGGCAGCTATCCAGACTGGGGAGAGGAATGGCATGGTGAGCTTGGACACTCAGTGAGGCTAAGAGTAAAGCATGGGATCATCCTGGGCTGGACAGAGATAGGGTCCCTTCCCCCAACACACATACTCGCCTTCTCTCTCCAAGGGACTGGCTAGCTGGCTGCAGGAAGGGGGGTGGGCAGTGAGGAATGGGTGTAGCTGAGCTGGGAGGAGGGAGGAAGGGGAGGCTGTACCCCTGGGGAGTTCAGATATTAATAAAGAGGATGGACAGTATTTAGTAAGAGGTAGTGGGTGTCCATGCGTCCATTAAATGTTAGTCTTTGAGGAGGAGCTGTTATCCCATTGCACAGACAAGGAAACTGAGTCACAGAGAAGACAAGTAACTGACTCAAGCAATGGCATAATCAATAAATAGAATCGCCAAGAAACTGGC